TCCCAGTGGCGGGTCCGGCTCCTGCGGCAGTGCAGCTACCCACCCCCAAAGGCAGGGCCGAAGTTCCGGTGGCTTTTGGGCTAGGGGTGGCTCCCACTGATTGCCCCCATCATTAACCCATGATTACCCATTAACAAAAAGCCCCCGCCCCTCGAGTTACAAGAAATAAAAATATCTTCCAACCGGTTTCAACAGATGAAAATAGAATTACACATTTTTTTTGGTTACATATTGTAACCCAAGACATTCATAAATAATGTTGGAGTTGTTAATGAAACAGTGAGTTTAAAGACTCAAATCCAAGGCATTGCTCAATTTCAGGAGATACAAATGAACCTGTAAGACTCTCTCAGTTTACCTTAGAATAGTATTTCTTAGCAGTGGCTTGATCTTGCTTTACACCTTGGCCAAGCTGGAGGCTAGATGCCAAGTAGAAAGCAGCCAGAGCAAGCCCCTTGGCTATGTATGTAGGAAGACAATGGGTTACCTTTGCTAGCGTATTGATGTCATCATTTTCTATAATCCTGTTGTGGGATTTACAGCATTAGGTTAGATAATGCTATGTCAAGCAATGATTTAAGTCAAGCATATATGATTTGGCAGTGCCTTCTTTCCATTTAAATCATTATCCAAAATAAGCTAGAATTTACATGTATTCAGTGGCCTGATGAGGATTTTTTTATTCAGTATTCGATTTGAAGTTAGTCTTATTTGTATGTTGTGATATTAAATAGCAAGCAAATATGTTTTGCAGTCACTTTTACTATAGCTACACTAGTTATAAAAGGCAATATATTTTATGCTAATTGTTTATATTAGAGTATTTCATGGAAATTAATACAGATACGTGTGTAGAATTGAGCAACCTCATCTGTCTGCTTGCTGTCGTCTTATTTTCAGCATGTTACTTTTACTAAGAACTGTTTTAAGAACTGGACAAAGTGAAAATTGTTTTAACTGTCAGACTATAATTATCTAGTATTGTAACTGAAATATTTGGTGCAACATTTTATAAGTGGGAATTGATTTCTTTCTAACTGCTGTCTTAAAACAGAGACCCTCAAGCCCCGTATCCTTTTCAGATAACACGCAGTAATTATATGCTGCTTCACACATCATTTTAGTTTTTATTGTGTCAAATAGTCGCAGAATTGACAGAAAAAAGGAAAAAAGTGCAAGTAATTTCATTTTATAGCTACTCCCTATAAATCAGTGTTTATGAAAGATTGTTCTCAACTAAGAGCCTGCTAAAGCACTGGAATGTTCTCCCACCTGATTTGGTCCTGTAAACAAATACAGTAACACAACAGAAAAGAAAACCCAAGGCTTATTAAGAAGAACATCAAGTGTAATAACAGTAATGTATTACCTCTTTTATCTCTCCTGATATGTAGCATTTTTGCCTTCCTTTCCAAAAGATAAGCAGGATGCTGATGCAAATAATAATACCCAGTCAGGCAAAAATCCTAGTTCGGCACAGTTGACTTCAAGAACATAGCATATCAACAGGTAAGTAGAACTACATGGGATAACAGAATGGTTGTTTGAAGTCTCAGTACCTAATGTAGACTCCAAATATTAGACAAGCTTGTACTGTACATAATCATATAGTATTTGTGTGTTTGTGCATAATGTAACAAACTGCATAGCTGGTATGAACATAGAAGGTCAAATAAAATCTAGCAGAAAAAATATCAGCGCTTGATAGAACTGGGTGAACTGCTATGAGATTTTTGCCTCGAGGCCAAGTGCAATCCTAGTTAAGTGGAACTGTTTCAGGTATGGTGGCAGTATCTTTTGGTTCTTAAATTGTCACTTCTGGCTGTACTATGGGATTTCATTGTTGTTTTCTGCAGTCACAATTGTAGCTGATGAAGTACACTGTTTACTTGTCTGAATAATCTACGATGCAGCACTGACTGGAGGGGATGCATTCCAAATGAGACAAGCTAGACTGGACTGAGCAGCTGTCTACTTACCATGCAAGAGAAAGAAAAGCAGCACTTGAGAGAGAAAACAATCCTTTTCAGCAGTGAGTATAACAAACAGCACTCATTGCTCAGCTTGCAAATTACCAGAGCTGCTGCTCTGCAGTGGCATATACGAGGTGCAGCTTCTGTAGGATGGTAAGTTGTGCCACATTTATTGCTAGGCAGCAGCAGTTTCTTAAACATACCACAGGAAGTACAAATATTGTTGTGTCCAGCTTGCTTGAGTAGTCAGTCTATCTGCATCTTATTTCTAGCACACTAATAATCTGATGGATGGCTTGAACTTTTAATATATAATGGCCGGCTCTGGAGGTTTGTTACAGAAATGTGCTACCAGCTGTAAAACTGGCACCAACATTGCTTTTGTCTTCTGTGACTAGTTCAAGATACAGACATTTGGTACAGACTGGCTGTGCTTGCAGCTTATACCAGAAATTGCTATTTCTGCACTGCACGAACCACTCCAGGCTGCGTAGGTACAGCAGAGTGCCCCAGTGACTGCCTGCGGAAAGGCTGGTCGGTGCTGCCTAAGTGTGGCTCAAACCAGTACCTCTACACAAGCAGCTAATCAGCAGAACCACTTGCCGACATCTCTTTTGTGGTCCAGGCTTAAAACTGCCTGTGCAGCATGCATCCCTGTGCGCAGCAACTGATGAAAAGCTGAAGAGCAGTAACTTGGCACTGTGTGCAGCAGCTACTTCGAGTTCCCAGGCCGTGCTGCTCAGAGTGCTGACTGCAGGATCCCACCCAGCATCAGTCCTTGTATTGCCTGTAAGGGACCCAGGAAGACAGTGGGTAGAAACCACATTAAGATGGGGGAGGTGGGGAACTAGATTTAGGCTTGTAGGGGTTTAAAAAGGAGTGGTGAAGGCAGGAGCCTAGTGCAGGTTGTGGACTGAGGAGATGGGAACGCAGGGTTGAGTGTGGGTGTCTACTTGGGATTCTAGTCTATTTTGCTTCACAGGATCAGTTCAACTGTACTCAATAGTTGGGAAGCCTAGAGTATTAATTTTGTCTGTGGTTTGATATTCCTTTTTTAAAGATATGAGGTATTGCAATTCATTATCTCAAATGTCTTTTAAGTTCCGTGGTCTTAGGTGAAGAACTATAATAAAAAATAAAGTGAAATTAACTTCACCTTTTGGCTGCTGCAGCAGCTGTGGAGTAAATTTTTCTGTTGTAGTAATATTCCACAAGATGGCCTTGAGCATAGACATTTCCATGTTCTGCTGCTTCTCTCAAACACTCCAAAGCAGCCTTAGTGTTTTGACATATATCTTGTCCATAGAGATACATAACACCAAGTGCACCCTGTGATTTGAGATTTCCGTTGCTGCAGGCTTCTGAATGCCAGAAAAAGGCCTAGACAAAAGGCACAAAGTTGGAGTGTATATTCACTTTGCATACTGTTGCCATAAAATCTTTTTCATTAACCAGCCTGTAAGAAGTGTTTGTACATAAAAGAAAGCAGAACCTTTGTCAGGCTTTTAAACCTGCTTCATTTACTGTCAGCTATCAGTGACACCTCCATGATTTTTGAAGGATACCAAGGCTGACAGAACTTGAATTCATTATATCCTCCCTGATGCTCCCAGTTAAAAAAAAAAATAAATCTCTCAAGCGAGTCAAAATTAGGGATTCTGGCCATCTGTTCATACAGGTTTAAATGGATGACGATGCCTAGAAAGTTTTCAGAGTCAAGTATATCACTGTATTCTGCCTGTGAAATTCACAATTAATTGGGACTTGAAACTCAGAAGGTACAAGTGGGTTTTAACCTTTTTCAGATCTTTTGTAACTGATACAGAATAAAACATTCCTAATGTACTCTGGGCCTTCACGCTTGCTTTTGGGTTTCCGTGGTCTGCAGCAATAAGCCACAACCTAAGGAAATGAGAACATTTAAGAAACACAGCGTCTTGCCCTCATCAGGAAAATTACTGCCTGCCGTTACCTTTCAGCCTCTTCGGTTGAGTGCCTAACACCATATCCTTCGTAATACGCTCTGCCAAGCTGCTGCAGCTGCAAACTTCAAGTGTCTTGTTAACTTTCAGACTGTGAAGAGGATGAAATAAAGAATCCGAGAAGCCACTAACAAGACAGGTAATTCTTTCACTTTGAAGAAAGGCTGAGGCATAGTGGTAGGACTGTCTGGAGAACAGTGTCATACCAAAGCAGAACTGATCTGCAGTTACTAGACAGCCCCTAGATTTTTTACTTCAGCGTATTCTTAGTGTGAAACATTTCCTTATAAATGTTCACCTGATACTATATAACTCTTCTTCATTGATAAAAATATTCTCAGAAATATTCTTGTGCTTATGTAATTGAATGTCAGATCCTGAATTTGCTACATTTTCAATTTTAGACTTCTGTAATCTTTTTCATGCTGCACAACGTATCTGAAATCATAAGATGGCCTTTACAGAAGGTAGAGCGATACAATAGCATGCTCTGAAGTTCCTCCATTAAAAATACCTTAGGTTCGTAGTGGACAAAAAAGTTACAATCTTCAATAGGCAAAGAGAGAACCTTGCATATGAGCAGCTGTATGGTGTATCATCCAAGGACCTCGTAAATATTTTGGAAACAAGATTTACACTGTTAGGATTTAGCATGAACCTCCTGTTTAAATACATTAGGAACAGCCCTTTATAAAAATTAACCTTTCATATTGTAATATTAAAAAAAGAAAGCAACTTCACTAAAATGTTTATTTGCAAGTAAACCAATGCAGTAATTATACAGGTATACAGAACATAGTATAAATGAACCACCTCTGAAAAACAGCAGAATATCTTCTGCTCTGCTGACAGTCACTTAAGCACCAGACAAGAATCTGATTTGTGAATACACTGTTTGGTCATTTTCTTGCCCCCCTGTCTTTTTATCTTTCATTCTCTGTATTCTGTCCTCATACCACTCTTTAAGATCATGTTCTCCAATAAATTAACTCTTCTTATTGTAGCAATTGATTCCTTTGTCAGCCTTTTTTGTAATGTAATTTTTCAATTTGAATTCTTCAAATTCTTGCCAACATAATTCTTTTGTCTAATTTAAAGATATTACTACCAACCACTGGCAGAAGCACAATCATCTTTAGCATCTGTGTTAAGAGAACAGAACCTAAAAAAATAGTATTTAGTATAGAGTAGTACCTTAGAAAGAATAGTACCTTAAAAAAATCTTTGTACAACAGATGTTTTACACTTTGAAATGCAGTCCTTTGATTTCCATTTTTACACATTTTATTTTCATTTAAATACATTGCTTATGTAAAAGTAACAAATTAATAGCAATTTTTAAACATAGCTTCCACACAAAGTACAACCAAACCCTTAAGAGTTTGTGTTTTAAAATACAAATTATTGCAAGTATTTTTCAGATAAACCTGTTTTATTATAGCTATTTTTGAGAATGTCTTCAACCCAGAACCCTCTATTTTTAATGATAGTGTGTAAACATCTTTACTTCATGAAACTAATTCTAGATCAAAGACCTGTGTATTTTAAACTGATTAATCAAGGATGCAAAGAAGCTAATATTAAAGAAAAGTAAAATGTGTAGCTTACTCTAGAGGGTCTTCCTTGGTGCCTAGTCCATCATAATACATTACACCAAGCTGATACATTGCTTGAAAATCTTCATCCTTGATTTTTTCAAATTAGAATCGTAGAATCATAGAACAATTCAG